TACAACAAATTTAAAGTTCACTTTAGAGAATACACAAAGGCACACCTATTCTAAAATACTGATTAACCCACTAACCCCAGAACTTCAAAGAGTAGTTCCTAACAGAAGAAATCACCAGCTTAGTGAGTCTTGTTCATATAATCAGCTGTTATTTAGAAACGATAGTAACCAATAAAACTATGCCAAGAGCACCCCTGTGGCATATTAAGTCATTGTTTTAAAAAGAATTATAAAAAAACGAAGCAGAACAATCTATATTCACTATCTCTAAAGCAGGCACTTTCCAAATTCACTGTAACATTTGTACAATTTGGTGAAATTTGGTGAGTCTGCATAGTTAGCCTCTGGAAATCTAATTTCCACTGTCAGTCATAACGTTTGCATACAGTTGTTTACAAATTCACTCCAAGTTACACAGCTCGTTTGTTTAGGGTACAACCCCGAGAAGCACGCTGAAAGAACTGGAGCAGCCAGTTATCAGCAAGAACACTTGAGCCTTGCCACTCGGGGTGGCGGAAGCCGGGGCTCCAACCTGAGCAACTGAATTAGAATCTGCATGTTAGCTGTATCCTAAGGGGGTGGGCCAAACTTACCCCTCTTGGGTGCCACTGAACATCACCTGGCAGAAGATGAAAGCATGCCCACGGCATGCCCAGTGCCAACGGGAAACAGACTAAGAGGAAGATTTGTTAGCTGGCAGGCGCACAAGGTAAGATTAAAGTTGGACAAGCCTCTTAGACCTCTTAGATCCTTCCGGCTTTGATGCTGTGATTCAGGAACCAAATTGTCAACTTTTAAGATAAAGACAAAGATCTTTTCCAAAATGATACCAAGGGACTGGTAGCAACGGTCATATGGCATTTGCTCAGAGGAAAAGTCTAACTAGGCCTGAAAGTCTGCTAACGTGGCCAATAAACCTGAATGTGCGATTAAGAACTTATTGCCTGAACAAGAGCCAAAGAAAAGGGAATTAAAAGGCATATGCAACATAACTCAAAGGCTATGTTAACACTAACACACAGTGTGTACCAATATGCAACCAATGAACTAAAGTGCTTTGCCTGAACTGAAATGCATACTTGGTCAAAGCAAGATCTACAGCTTTTCCCAAAGACCGTGAGCAGAACGTCTCCTTCAACTGTTTTCATCCCTGGGGATACAATCGCAATCTTGAAATTCACTAAAACCGCCAACCAACTCAGAGCCACGTGCTCCTCCTTTTAGCCACCCCACTACTACAGTGCCTTACAAACAGAAGGCCCTGAAAAGAAACTAAGCAATTGATCATCAACACCCACTTGGGATAAACAGACGTGGAAGAGATAACTAGCTCACTTAGGGAACCTAGAACACTCTGTCCTCATTAACTAATCAGACACCGATCAATCAAATAGAATGTTCTAAAAAAAAAAAAAAGAAAACTTAATTTCTTTGCGGTTTTATGGAACATCTTGTAAGTATTAAAAATTTTACACAGTTTACACGAAGCTTGATGATATAATTTTCATTTCTGCATCATTTAAAGATGTTAGAGTCTTGATTCATCTTTTTCCTCAAAATTCAAATTCTGCTGGCTCTACCTCCAAAATATCCAGACTCCAATTTTCTAAATTCACTACGTCCTCAAAGCTGTTACTCCTTGCCTGGATTACAGCACAGCCTAATTGCTTTTCCTGCCTACAGCTCTGCACACACACTATCAGCCACATTTTACATTGCTCCTTGGTAAGAACAGAGTTATCCTGCTAAATTGTACATATGAAGGTACCACCACCACCATTGGCTCAGCTCTCTCCAATGGCTCCTCATCTCAGAACAAACTCAAAGTTCTTACAATGACTTACAAAGCTTCTATGATCTCACCCCAATTACACCTTTTTCCTCTTATTCTCTCCACTCAGGTCCTGACGGTTGCTTTGCTATTCCTGGGCACACTCCTGATCTAGACTCCTGTAACCTGCCTGGAACGCTACATTGCTCAATTCCATAGAGGTCTCGCTAGTAAAATGTCATTTGTCAGTACAGTCACTCCTGGGCACTTTACTGACAATTCTGATCCCCTCTCCTCATGTTTCCTTTCTCTTAGCATGTAACATGATTCAATACATCATACACTGAAGGTTTTTGTTTTTCCCAACTAAAACATGAGCAGGGAATTTTGTCAGCTTTACTCACTGATATAAGGGCACAGTGTCCCATGGTGCTCTGTAGTTAAGTAATTTTTTTTTTAAACTTTAGTTTACCTGGAGGGGAAAAAAAAGTAAAACTGCTTAAGTTACATAAATTTAAATGGAAACTGGAACAACCAAGAAGTACCTTTTAGTCTCATTTTTCAGCTCGTGTTGTTCTCTCTTCTTTTCCATCACTTTCCCCCACCTGTTCTTTGGCAAATCCCTCCGAGGCAATGGGATGGCATGCTGGACATAGAGATCAGTAAGACTGTCTTTGTTTACTCTCACATCACTTTCAACGGCTATGCTTTTCTGTGGGAAAGAAAAAAAGGAATTTAATTTTAGTAACCAATCATCTCATCAACCCGTAAGGTAAAACACAACTCTTTAAATAATACATTATTTGAACCATTTCACAACCACGTGCACACTGGAAGGTCCTGGAACATTCTCAAGCAGTATTACAGGCAGGTTAGGCACTACAACTATTAGCTTCAGGCTCATCATAAAGACAATGGTCACACGGCCTCAGTATGAAGAGGACGGCTGTCCACAACTGCTCAGACAACATACTAGGCATGAAGACGACTTCCAGGGCTTCTTAATCTATAAAGGGGATTGCAAATGGGGGACTGCCTGGTGAAAACAGACAAAAGCCGATGACAGTAACAATGAGCACACTCAGTCAATAAGTTACCTTGAGTGTTACTATTAGGATCAGACTAGTGCCCTATCATTTCTCACGTTTTTTCTTAAATTGGGGTTCTTTACCAAGATTTAAAATAGCACAGCAGGCCTCTTACTGATGAAACTAGGCCTCTTACTGATGATAATAGCAGTACATCAGAACAGCCCGCTCCTCCCTCCACTCCCACCCCATGTTTTCCCTGGTCTCATCAAGTAGCGTCCACTCACTGTCCCAACCATCCCTATCTAGATCGTCTCACCCTCCCTCAACATCACAGGAAACACAGAGCATGAGGGACAGGGACAGGCACAGAGGCGAGTTTGCATTCAGAAAGCCGAACCGAAAATGGAAACATCTCGGGTCCTTCAAGTTCCAATCAGAAAGGCCTGCAAACGTTTGTGCTCAGTACAACCAACAGATCAATGTCTTCTGATAAACTTCTGCCAACTCCCTTTTGTTAAAAAAAACCTGAAGTACATTTTAGCTTTATCCACAAGCATTCATGGAGGAGAGGCCATGTGAGTACCCGCTGAGAAGGCAGCTATCTGTAAGCCAGGAGGCAGGCCCTGAGCCAACACCAAATCTCCCGGCATCCTGCTCTTGGACTCAGCCTACAGAAGTGTAAGGAACGAATCTCAGGGTGGGGTGGGGGGACGGTGGGGTGGGCTTTTCACGTGGTATTCACTCGAAGGCAGGGGAAACCCTGCGGATTCTCTTGGACAACGTTCCCGAAGGATTCAGTCACATTCTTTTGCCCTTAAGGGCGAGGACTCTCCACCGGGGGCTTTGGGACTAGCAGCACAACTGGTTTAAAAAATGCCATGTTGCAGGCCGCACCCTTGATCTACTAATATGAACGCAGTCTAGGGATGGAACCTATCAATCCGTGTTTTAATTACACGGTGATTTTGATGTTCTAAAAAGTTGCTGTATTGTGAGGGTAACTGACATGATTAAAATAATTCTTTGATGCCAGCGCTGAGGCACTGGGTTAATACCCTGACCGCAGTGCCGGCATCCCATGTGGGCGCTGGTTCGAGACCCAGCTGCTCCACTTCCGATCCAGCTCTCTGCTATGGCCTAGGAAAGCAGTAGAAGATGGCCCAAGTGCCTGGGCCCCTGCACCCGTGTGGGACCCAGAGGAAGCTCCTGGCTCCTGGCTTCGGATCAGCACAGCTCCAGCTGTTGCGGCCATCTGGGGAGTGAACCATCAGATGGGAGACCTAACTCTTTAAATAAATAAATAAATAAATGCTTTAGCAGCAGGCCTGAGGAAGTTAGAGTATGGGACGGAAATCCCTGTATGCTACATAAACACCCTCCCCCCCACCCTGGGAAAACTTCAGTAACTCACTATTAAGCATCTCATTTTTCTTCAATGTTTCCCCTATCATCGCAAGCCGCACCAGCTGAAAACGTGCCAGCGCTCCACGGAGAGCCGGGGCCCGGAATTTTCCTGGCGGCATCACGCACAGACGGTGTGCCCCGAAATGCGGCACCTCACCTCCCCGGGACTCGGGTTCACCACCTTTAAAAGGAGGGTAGAGGGTGTGGAACGGTCGCGTTCTCGGGGCGTGCTGACCCAGGCGCCCGCGATGTCCACTCTCTGTGCCGACCACTCTCCGGCACCTCTTCCCTAGCGCCCCTCTCCCGGAGGCCCCCTCGCTCCCGTACACCCGGGGGTCGCTCGGTGAGACAGCAGAGGCTCGGGTAGACAAGTTCTACTTCCCAGGAGCGCCTGCGAGTCTAAGGACGCCTCTTCTCTAAACAGGGCACGATCGGGACACCTGGCTGCGCTGTGTGGGTGGAGGGTGGCCGGTGCCGGGCAGGAGGAGCGACGCCGGCGGGAGTGTCTGTCGTCACCGTGGGCTACTCGGGGACAGCCCAGGTGCGAGGGCCTCTCCCGGACAGGCCCACCCGCCCCGGCGTGCCCGACCTGCTCCAGGGTGAGGAGAAGGAACTCCTGCGACAGCAGCTCCGGGTGCAGCAGCAGCTCCGAGTCCGTACAGCTGCGACCGCCCACATCCCCCGCCATCGTCGTCGCCAGGAGACCCCGGCCGGCTACCCACAAGGCTCCGCGAAGGAAGCGGCCCGGAAGTGACGCCTCCGGGCAGCGACTCGAGTGTGTCGTCACTCTGCGTGCGCCGCGGGCTGGCCGTCCGTTTCGCTAGGGGGTGTGGTTCCGGGTCGACGGTCGCCTTCAAGGTTTCCCAGGGACGAGAAGGAAAAAAAAAAATGAGTACTGTCGGGGAGAAACGAATGGCCTGTAGAGTTTTGAGGAAGAGAGGAATGAGCGAAATTCACGCAGCTGGCCGCCATTGGTCGCACCTGCTGTGATGTCCAGTGGAGAGGCCAAAGGGATTCTCGAGGCGGCCTCGAGGGGTGGTGGTGGGGCGAATAACATTATTCCAGATAGGGCACTTCTGGCTGAAAGTATCCTTTCCCTTTTTTCAGCCTTTTTATTTGTCTTCTAATCGCCCTTCTATATTTAAAAAAAAAAAAAACAACCCTGCAATGCCAAACATTCTATTTAGTTCATTCTTCCACTGACTTAGGCGCTAAAGTACGAGGATTTGTTCTCTGAGATAATACTTGTAACGAATGAAACAGGTCACGTACGAAAAGTAACAGCCCACCGAGAAAGGCGGCTGAAAGCACAGACTTGCTGGACATTTGCCGTGTTCTGGGTGCTGCGTTTTACGTGGATTATCTCGGAAAACATTGAGGTGTATTCGTCATTATGAGAATGTCTGTTTTTAACTTGAGGACGCTGAGGCCTCGGATCATTTGTTCAAGGTCGCAGGAAGTAGCACGACCAAGATGCTAGTACGTTTTCTCTGTACCTACTAGGAACTGACGGATTTTGGTTGGAATTGTTGGTGTCAGCTATGATAATTGCTAAGAAATTTTTGCTTCTCTTATTCATACGACAGAGGTGTATTGTGCGCAAATATTTTGCACATTTTTGCGACTTCTATGGTATTTTATCATTTTCCTGCAAACTATGACATTGTTGATAAAAATATGAATTGAGAATACCAAAAGATAAGTGAGGGACTAAATTTAGAAAAAAAAAAGATAAAGCTGGGAGATGTTTTGCAATTTTTTTTTTGACAGGCAGAGTTAGTGAGAGAGAGAGAGAGAAAGGTCTTCCTTCCACTGGTTCACCCCCTCAAATGGTGGTTACTGCCAGTGCGCTGCGCTGATCCGAATCCAGGAGCCAGGTGCTTCCTCCTGGTCTCCCATGTGGGTGCAGGGCTCAAGGACTTGGGCCATCCTCCACTGAACTCCCGGGCCACAGCAGAGAGCTGGACTGGAAGAGGAGCAACCAGGACAGAACAGGTGCCCCAACCGGGACTAGAACCCGGAGTGCCGGCGCTGCAGGCAGAGGATTAGCCTAGGGAGCAGCGGCGCCGGCCTTGCAATTTTTCATAGTCATTTAGGCATGTGCTAATTTATGTCTAGAAATTGACACCTAAGACTGAGACTTAAAAGTCACCCGAGTTTATTTTTTATTTTAGTGCCCATGAAACTGATCTAAAAGAGATTATATGTCTTGTCCAAAATGATGAAAGTCCTAAATTTTGAGGTCAGACAGGTATTAAAATACCCTAATTTGGAGGTTAAGTGTACAAACATTAGCCCTGTGATATTAACACCGTGATATTCCATATCCAAAATCTGTTGTTCATAACAGATCCTGTGACATTATTTCCTTCATTTCTCGGAGGCATACTGGTTAGTGGCAAAATAACCTGCGGTAGGAGGAGTCTGTGTTTGAAACCAGACAAGGGCTAAAATTGGGGTCTGCTGCAATTCGTTAATCGCTCCACTTCAGTCCCCTCATCAGGAAAATGCTGTCTTACAATACTGTGCAGAATGCTCGAAGCAGTAGAGATTGTAACACGCTTGGCACAGACCAGGTGCCGACGACCTGGAAGCTGGTTTCCCACCATGGGAGGCAATCCAGAGAAAGGGAAACAGGGGAGGCTTTAGAGTTGCCCTGACTTGAATTAGAACCTGGCTCCCGCAACACTAGGACTAACACTTCACCTTGCCCAGCTGGGGCTTCCTCCTCTCTGAGATGGGATGTATAATGCCACCTCTCAGTGTCAGAGGATTGGAGCCAACGTGTATGAAAGACTGCTTGTGCCTCTGCCTCACGGTTTGTTGTATTATATATTGACTGTCATCAAAGAGAAGTACCAGAATGGTAGAAGAGGGGAAAGGATTTGGATTTCATAGTCCGAAAATGCGGTTCCAAGTCTTTCCTGTGCTCTTGCTCCTGTGGTTTTCTGGACCAGTGGCCTAACCTGAAGCCTCAAGCTATACATCCACAGAAATATTTTGTGGCAGGTAAGGGTTAGTACTTCCTAATTTAAAACTAAAAGTGCTTCTTTGTTTAAAACTAAATCAATTAATGTTATCTTAAGTGCTTCTGAAGCAAAAGTCTCCAGTTAAATGGAGTGTGTTTTCTGAAGTCAAAAAATCAGGAGAGGAGGAGACAGAATGAGATTCTGGTACTCGTCCTCCTGTCTAAGGAAAGTAGAGACTGGTGATGGCTGCCCACTCCTTCCTGGGCAGAGCCTTTGCAGAGCGGGTTTCTGGAGAAGCTGCAGTCTCCCGACTGTGTTTGAGCCCGAGGTTCTGCTGGAGCGATTGGTGGGAAGCCCTGGAGTTTGCATTTCTAACAAGCACAAAGCTGATGCCTTCCAATATGTCCCCGCAGGAGAGATGCCTCCCAGAGATTCCCACCACACCGCATGGCAAGGAAGCCGTTCACAGCGCTGACCTTTAAGCTCCAAACCAATAGACAGGAAACACCAGAGTGCACAAAGCACATCTGCGTTTCTGAGGGACCATTGATGTCTCCCTCTTCTCACCTAGGTGGGCAGAAATCTCCCAGCCCCAACATCTGAGGAAAGTGGGAGGGCTTCAGGTGAGTGTCACTGTGGGAGAACCCGATTTCCAACAGAAATAAAAGGCTCGGCTTCAGAAAAAAAAATGATATTAGTCATTTGCGTTTGTAGGCTGACATGTATTCCTGCTGTAGTATATTTAAATCTGTGAGCATTATGTAGTGACAGTAAGGCACTCAACACTTTAAGCTAAGTGTTAGAAGAGTTTTAATTTCCATTGGAGATCATGAGCCCTTCACTTTTTTTTGGTGGCTTTAGTTGACAGGAACAAATTGGAGGGCAGCCAACAAACATTGTGCTGCCTGGCTTTATCATTTGCTGTGACTTCCTCGAGGGCAGGGTCCCTACATTTCCTTTGGGTCCCTCAGCCATGCACAGAGCTTGTACTTAGTAAGCAGTTACTCAGTAAATGTTTGTGGACTGAATGAGTCAGGAACAAAATGTATGCTAAGGACTTTGGTTGCTGATTCCTCTTGTTAACATTTAAGTATGTTATCATGAGTTACCAAAAATACATGGGCATAGATAAAGTTAATAAAGTTAAAACTGAAGGTAACAGTTTAAGCGACACATTTTGGACTTGTATATTTGGGTATTTAGAACACAATGATCGTTTTCAGTGTCATTTCCTTTTTAATCGATCAGATCATAATAAAAATACATTTACTTACATAACCCATTGTCTTTCTTGTAAACCCGTTTTCTTAGTCCATTCAGGCTGCTATAACAAAATACCACAAACTGAGCAGCTTATAAAAGACAGACATTTATTTCTTACAGTTCTGGAAGCTGGGAAGTCTAAGATCCAGGGGCTGGTAGATTTGGTGTCTAGTGAGGACACATTCCTCATAGATGACCACCTGTCCACCGTGTGCTCATATGGCAGAAAGAGCAAACAGGCTCTCTTGGACTTTTTTTTTTTTTTTTTTTGAAAGGGCGTTAATCACCTCCTTAATGCCCACTTCTCAATATGATCCCATATTGAGTATAGGAATTTAGGGAGACACCGCCATCCAGGCCATCCAGGCCAGAGCCCTTATCTCACAGGCCACCTCTTTGGTCTGTGAGTTCTCAGGCCCCAGCACGGGTCTTGCCACACAGCAAAAGCACCCTTGGGTGCTTCCTGACAGAGCTTCCTGCACTGTTATCAGATCTCCAGAGCACATTGTTTTGGCCTTGTGATCTGGTTGGGTGGGTTTTAATTCCACATGTCCAATTAATTCGGTTCTGAAAACCAAGGGTGCATTAGAATCCCCTGGAGGGCTTGTTGTAAGCAGTTTGCTTGGCCCCACCCCTAGAGTTTCTGATTTGGGAGGTCTGGAGTAGGGCACAGGAGTTTGCATTTCTAACAAGGTCTGATGTGATAGTGATACTGCTAACTGACTGGGTTAAATTAAGCTGCTGGAGGCAAAAACTTTTTCCTTATTTCAGGATCCCCTCTAACCTGTGGCATAGAACCTGGCACATAGGAGCTACCTAAGAAATAGTTGATTTGAATAATAATTAAAAGTATTTATTTTACTGGAGCTAGAGTACAAGTATATGATGTATATGTATGACTAAATGAACTAATATATTTAAAAAGCTCTTAAATATGGCACATGATAAGCCATGTTTGCTTTTTTTAAAAAAATCATAAATATAAGCTTTCTCTGCTTAAACACATCTTTTAAAATGATACCTAATCGTGGTAGATGTGTATTAAGAGAGCTAATGAAATAGAATGGCAAAAATCTTAGCTTGAAGCATCTCTTTTTATAGATGCTCCAGCTCATCAGTGGTGTGCATCTAGAATATAAAAAGTCGATTGAGTGCTTTCTACCTGCAGAATACAACAGAGAGCAAGGCAGGCATACTCCTGGTCCTCCTGAGCTTATGCCCAATGAGGAAATGAGGAACCCAGGACGTGAGGATGCTAAGTTTGGGGAGTAGACAGTAACTATTAAAACATTCAGTTGTATCTATACAACTCCTAATCTCCATTAATCTTCTTCTTAGAACACATCATTTTCACATTTTGTAACAGACTCAACATGTTTGTTCTGAGTCCAGAGGATATTTAGTAAACATTAATAGATGAAGTTAATTAATTCTTTTGAAAACTATGTGACTCGAATATTTCTTCTTAAACATAACCAACAGCAACGCCATGAGGAATTCTATGCAGATGTTTGCAAATGGTTTCGGTGCAGGCATTCACGTAGAGGGGCGTGTCATTTGTGACAGAGTTCTCAGCAGGCACCAGGAAGAACAGATAGCTGGGCATTTCAAAAAGTTCATGGAAAATGCAATTAAAGATACATTTATTTTGGTGCAACAGTTTGTTAGAATCCATGTATGTGTTTTTCATAATATACATTTTTCATGGTCTTCTTGAAGACCCTTTGCAGAATGGACTGCACAAGTGTTTTGCACCAAAAACAAACTTATCCTTTAATCCCATTTTCTGTGAACTTTTGAAAATATTTCCATGTTCTGGCTGGAACAGACGTACTTGTAGAGCTCGCCATTTTAAGGATCCAGTGGTAGGGACCAGCGCTGTGGTATAGAGAGGTTAAGACACCACCTGCCGTGCTGGCATCCCATATGGGCAGTGGTCCAAGTCCTGGCTGCTCCACTTTGATCCAGCCCCCTGCTAATGTGCCTGGGAAAGCAGGGGAAGATGGCCAAGTCTGTGGGCTGCTGCACCCACATAGGAGACCCAGAAGAAGCTCCTGGTTCCTGGATTGGGATCAGTCCAGCTCTGGCTGTTGCCGCTGTTTGTGGAGTGAACCAGTGGTTGGAAGATCTCTCTCTCTAACTCTCCCTCTCTCTCTCTCCAACTCTGCCTTTCAAATAAATAAATCTTAAGAAAAAAAAAAAGAATCCAGTGGTAAATCATAAAGAATTACTTGTGAATTTGTCTTTTTTGTTAGTATACATTTTTCCCTCCTAGCGTATTTAAAGTGAAACACAAAGGTTGTTTCATAAACTGTTTGGTCAATGGGACTTAATTTTTTGTCTTTAAATCTTGGGGGTAATATTTAATTTATTAGAGCAAGGCCATCTGTTGGCCCACTATCCCAGTGTGGGAAGTGTGGCAAAGCCAAGAGCCTAGAACCCAATCCAGGTCTCCCAGGAGAGTGGCAGAGACTCAACTACTAGGCTTACCACCTGCTGGCTCCCAGGGCCTGCACTGGCTAGAAGCTGGAATCAGGAGCAGAGGCAGTTAGAGAACCCAGGCACTCCAACATGGGGCACAGAGCAATTGCCCGACGTGGGACACCCAGAAGAAGCTCCAGGCTCCTGGCTTTGGCCTGGCCCAGCCCAGGCCATTGTGGCCATTTGGGTTGTGAACCAGCTGACAGAAGGTCTCTCTCTCTTTCTCTGCCCTTCTAATAAATAAAATAAACCTTAAAAAAATACAAAACTATAACAGCATAGTGATTTTATTAAAGATTTTTTTTTTAATTTGAAAGGTAGGAGTCAGGAACTCCATCTGGGTCTACCACATGGATAGCAAGGGTCCAACCACTGGAGCCATCTTCTGCTGCTCTCCCAGGTGCATTAGCAGGGAGCTGGATCAGAAGCAGAGCAGCTGGGACTCAAACTGGTGCCCTTTGGGGATGCTGTCATTGCAGGTGGTAGTTGAACTCACTGTGCCACATCACTGGGCCTCAAATTATAGATTCTTCTTCCTCTGTTTCTGATAGCATGGATGTGGAATGAGATTCATCTCTCTTTGCCTCAGTCAGCTCATCTGCAGAATGGGAAAATTAGCAGTGCCTGTCTCGTAAGGTGTAGATGAGCTCATTGCTATAAGGTTCTTGGCTGGATGTCTGGCCAGTGGATGTCAGCTCTGTGGTATGGAAGAACAATATATACATGGAAAAGTGCAAGTGGAGATTCTAGATCCAGCAATTAGTTGAAGCCAAGTCGAATGAGGAGCAATTAGTTGATGCCTGGGTCGAATGAAGAGTTTGGTTTGGACCTGCTCTGATGCATTCCTGCTCCCTGGCTCCCTGTCCTGTGGATCCTTAGTCTTGAAGGTGCAGGTGGTAGTGCCCATTCTTGAAGTCAGCTGTAGGTCAGAGTTCTACACTCCGTTGAAACTCGTCCTGGCGACACCTGGTCTCACTGGGTGACAGCTGCAGCACCCAGGGATGGGGCCCCGGGAAGTCAAATCTTGACAGTTTAACTTTTTTTTTTTTTTGGCCACTTTCCCCCTTATAAGGGAAGACAGGAGACAGCCTGGAATCTGCCCACAGGCTTGTGATAATATCTTTCTTTTATTAGAATAAAGCTGAGGCTGAAGGTCACCAGTGGGTTCTTAAGTCGCTGAAAATCCTCAGAACTTGGTCGTTCATGTGCTAATCACGGGAGGGAGTTTTCTGATTCTGTTCATGAGAAACTGGACCTGGATTATGGTTGGAAGAGGAGTTCATGGGAGTCTTCCTC